TTATAAAAATGATTATTGTTATGTTTCATAATACAATAAAACTTTATTATTGTACACTTTATTAAAATCGGGATATGAAATCTGCCTTACGAAAATATTTAGATAAAAAAATAAATTAGTCTATGACCTTATAATTCACTTTAAAAAGCCTTTTAATTTAATAAACATAACCATTAACTAAGCATGAATACGACATCTCTTCTTCTTCTTCGTATTCTTCATTACTGAAGGTCGAGCTTGTCTTGATATGCTTTAACGGCTGTGTCGACCAGCTGCCTCCACGGCGTCCTATCGTGTTGCCTCAGGGCAGTCGTGATATTGAGTCCCAATATAGGCTGCACTTAATCGAAAATATGAAAAAAAAATATGACATAGGCGTGGATAAAGTGAGAGATAAAATAAAAAGTTAATCACCATAAACTCGATGTTGGAACTTTATGAAGATTAAGTTTTTGTTCTACAAATCTTAAAGAGTTACCACATAAAATGACGAATAATAATCGACACAAATTCCTTGTTTTCAAAGCAACTTTAATTAATCTGTAATGAATGTAATAAAAAGCCAAAATAGCAAAAATATGGGATTTTTACCTATTTCAAAAATTGAAGCGAAACTAAATTAGTTTATAACCAGTATGTAATTAGAAGAAACGAGAGTAGGCAGTCTAAGAAAAAACAACATAAGGCAAATACGTAATTTATTTTTAAAAACAGCTCGACTACACTATCGAAATTATAAAATCGAATTCTAAGTTTAAATGTAAGAATTGCAGTAGAGAATTTAGAAGAAATCCTTGGATATTCTTATAGTCATTAGAAAGGCTCTCAGTTCTAGCCTGGCGGGAGATGTGGGGCGCAAGTCGACAGACTGCAAATAAAACAAAAAGCTCCTGCAATTTTCTTTCTAAAGGCGATACAAAGTGGATTTAAAGTGCAATGGGATTTTAATTTACTTCGACTTCGAACACATATAATCAGTGTGTTTTATCTAGAGTGCTAAATACGATTCATGTTATATTTTGGGTTTAACTCGTATAACTTTTGATATAAATAATGTCCATATAAGTTACAGTTTCAAGATAAGTTTTATAAAACGAATCATGGGCACTAAATAACTCTTGTTAGTTTATTACGTGGCAGTGAAAAAATCAAAATGCAACAATTGATAACTTACCACTTGATTTTTTTTAATTTAAGACTTTACCGATATATCTTGTTTGGAAGAAAATCCAACACTGTACCGGTGTACTGGCGCAAAATTAGCCTTACTAATATGTTGACTTTTATGTCCCCTCACTAATCATTCTGACACTTGACATGGAAAGCACGCCATTCGCACCAAAGAATTCTAACTAATAATGTCTAAAAATCTCAAGATATGTAACAAATCTTATACAAATTACACATTTTGTTGATGACGTTACGAAGACGTATGTCGCAAAAAGGTCCAAGTTCCATATTTTCGTAAGTCATTACAAAACCTTAATAGATTACTTAAGCAAAATCTGAAACATAATGGCCATTGTAAAATTGAGCGTAGACTTAAAAAAAGCAATAAACGGAGGACTGGTCAGGGGGTGGAAACTTAGAAGAAGGACGGTTTGTATGGAAAGTGGCGCCACCTTTTATATAATGGTAAACATCATTTCATCTCATGGCTGAGAAGAAGCATCATTTCTGTCATCGAGACATTCATGTGTCATCAAACCGCTACGTTTTTTCGTATTTCTATTTCTGTTCTTGTATTCTTAGTTAAATGTTGTTTCATTCATTTTGTTTTTAATTAAAATGTGTTTTCGTGAAAAACGACGCTGTATGCAACTGTGTTTTAGATGGACTGATTATGGTAAGTTACAATTCAATAAAAATTTTCATGTTATTCCCATACGTCAGACTCATTTAAACATTTAAATATTTTCGTATTTTGGTGTAGTTTTTAGCACCACAGTGATTTATACTTTCCGGTTATCATATTGAATGGTACTTCTAATACATTTTACATATTAGTTCCTATACTTGACAGGAAATCACATTCTGTTTGTTTGTTGTAGGTGCACATATACACGGTTTCCCCCTTCCTGAGAGAAGGTCAGTGAAGTTCAGAAAATGTGTGCCAATCACTGGAATTATAGAGCCATAAACTGATGTGTCTGAAATTAGTAGGTGGGTCCATGTGTGTATATGTAAAAAATATATTTTTTTATTTGTAATTTTTTATTGTAAATAAAAATCTGCTTGCCTATGTTGTAAGAGAATATGTTCAGAGTGTTTAAACTCGCAAATAACTACAAATTGCCAGTTGCCAGCTTACATGTGACTGAAAATATTTTGGGGGTTGGTTTTAATTACAGGGTATGCATTTTTTTTGTGACCGCGCTATACTATTTATTACCGTAAATGTAATTTTCAAATATATATATATTAAATATTAAAATATTGAGCTGATATCTTGAAAGTCATTGATGTATATGTACTTGCATAGATTTAAAATTAAGTTATGTAGAAATATAATAAATAATGTACAAAAATATAAAAATATTTTGTTTTTATTTCCCCAATAATAATAGGATCATTTTAATAGAGGTATTTCATAGAAGGCTACTTGATATCGGCTCACTATAATAATAACTGATAAGTGGGTGTATTATTTTTGAACATTGATTTAATGTCAATTTTAATTTCATAAATTAGATTCCCACTTATCAGTTATTATTATAGTGAGCTAAATAAGCGTGCCTACGTATATAGATACCAAAAAAAAAAAAAAATTAGTTCAGCGATTATACGCATGGAGCGCCACAATCGCCGTGGATCCACGACTTCGTGCGAGTTGCCCCTCTTTCTATAGTATACTTATTATACTCTTTGGGACTGGTGCTGACGTCAAAGCAATATTTCCTGTCATTGCTGTAAAATAAAATATTATGGTCGCGGTTTCCATTCCGCGACGCGGTGCGGTCGTCAGCGGGGGAAATTAAAAATTATCGGACCTATCATCTCCCATGTAAATTTACGCTTATAATACTTGCTTAGTCTATAATCATTACTATTTTTTCGCTGAATAACAAAACCTTTTCACTCTCCAATTAGTAATTTATACTAGTTACATATTTTTTTAATCGAGTTTTGTTGTTAAACACAATTTATTTTACTTGTAAAAAATGGATGGGACTATTAAAAGGGTTTTTTTTCGGTCTTGAAATAAAAACAATAGCAAAAGTATTTAGTAAAACTGAAATAAAATGAGGGATCGACATTATTATGGCTATTTAATATTCAAAAAAATTAGTACTCTATGGCACGAATAATAAGATATTTTTAAACAATTTCAAACAGTTATTCTGATGCTTATCTGACCTAAACTTAAATCTTTTTTCGTTAATAAGTGAGAAATAACTTAGTCGGTCTTAAAGTTAATAAAGGCCTTAGGTAACGAGTTCCGGTCAAAGTAAATCGGACGGAAAGGAATCCTCCGACGTCGGTAAACATTACGCTCGGTCCTTTGATGGAAATGAGGCATAATGAAAAAGGTTACAAACGAGCGAAGCTTTCGCAAGCGTCTTAATAAAATAACGTAGCTAATTAAAAATGTTGCTGATTTCTGAGTTTTTGAGTAACGAGGTCATCAACATTTTTCTGAATTCCTTATGAGATAAATTAATGATTCCATTACATTTTAGCAAATTGAAAAAATAAGCATATTCTATGACTATAGAATTTATAGAAAAAAAAAAATAGATTAAAGTCATTGCTTATCGAGAAACCATAAGCCATTATATTCATGTCAAGAATTCTTTTAGTGATTTTTTTTGTAAATCGTACTCTTATGTCCTGTAATTTAAATATTACCAATAAATTGCATTGTACTTTTAGATTCTTCATGGTTAATAAGCCGTTTGAAAAATCTGAAAAAATCATATTTAGTAAGACAAGTTTTTGACAACACTTGTAAACAATTGTAATTAAAAAAAATCCTTTACATTTTGTTCAACTTTTGGCAAATATCTCAATAATAAAATTGTTAATTTCTCACCACTTTAAAGTACCTTGTTCTCCAGGCGTCGCTTTGTAAGACGTCCAATATTTCAGTCAAAATATAAAATAACGAAGACGCTGGAGTGTCGTATGAAATTAGGTCGTAAAGCTCGCGACGGTATCATGCCACGTTTTATGGACATTTCAACTTTAATTATTACTCAAAAGATTTTATTTCAAAATTCTTATTTCCTTTTCGCATTAAGTTACAAGAAATATTCACAAAAATGTTGCTATTTAGCCATTAAAAATATTATAAACTTAAATTACCGTATTCAAAATTTTAAAAAATTAAGAATATATTGTCATAACGGCATATTTTAAATTGCCACTCAGAATTGTGAATAGTAAAAATTATTATCTCATTACTCTTGAAACTATTAAAAAGACTGATTTTTATTTTTACATTTAAAATCAAACGGATTATTAAATTGTGTTTGAAAAGTAAGACTTTTCAACACTTTTATTATCTTTTGAAATAAAGGCGTTTATTGAGTAAGCAATTTTAAAATAACACTGGTATAAAATAAAACCGATCAAGCAATTAAAAAATATAAAAAAGGACGCAGGTGTGTGAGTGCGATGGCAGTTTGAATTGAGATTTTAATATCAAGAAATTACCAAGAAGCGATCTTTTTTTGTTTTTATTGTGCGGTGACAAAATTTAATTCACGAAAGTATATTGAAATGCGTTATAGGTATAATATATGTGTAAATTATTTTGTGATCACCACAAAGGTCCAATACCTCTGTGGTTGCTAGTATTTGTAATTTAAGAATGAGATTTTAGTTTTTTTTAAATCCTCATTATAAAAAATCTTGTGTTAATTAGTGTCAAGGGTGTGATGAAAAACGATTAATTGAAACAAAACATATTAAAGTAAAACACTTTATTTGATCAAAAATTATTCCAATTCGCCGTAGTCGTTGGGATCAGTCCGTTATTTATTTTTTTAATTTTTTTCTTGTACTTTAAAAAATCTTGTACTTTGCTAACATCAAAATAACATTAACACGTATTTGATATAAAACAATTAATTTTTTTAATCTGTTTTCATCGGAGTCCATACAACAAGCTTTGGTCGTTTATTTGGCAGATGCAATCGAAGAAGAGAAAAATATTAAGAAACTTATCAACTATCAGTACTATAAGCATTAATATTCCTCTCGAAATAAAATAATTTACAGTACAAAATTATTGCATACTAACATACAATAATAAATAGCTAGATTGAAGTTATAAATACAAATAAATATTTATATTTGTAGGTTATGTACAGGCAGCGGTGTTGTGGATTCGATTGCATCGTTCGTTGGATTTATGCCTCAGCTGTGGGCGTGTGGGACTGCGTGGTGGTGACACTGTTGCTGTTGGAAACCGTATCCGGATCCTGTTCGCGGACTCCGAGCCAGGGAAGACGCTTCTGCAGCTCAGCCCTGGAGAAATACACCGTGTTTAAGTCCAAAAAGTATAAAAGAAAGATAGTAGCGGTTTTTGTCAGTTTACCCAGAATTTTTATTATTTATAATCTAAGCAAATTCACAATATAGTGAGAGTTACATAAATACGACATCGTGGTGTTCTATAAAAACTATTATTTTGATGCTCATAAATTTCTTGATATACCAACGTCTCGATCAGACAAGACTATTGGTTTACTGACCTGTATCTTGGGTGGTTGATGGCGTACACCCAAGGATCTATGCAGGACACAATCTTGCAGCAGACAGCAGGAATCATGGTGGCAACAGGTGTCAACAGGCTCCTGATATAAATACATTAAGATATAAACATTGGCTGTTATCAATTTGGTAAGATTTATATTTTTTTTATGGTAAGTGATACCTGTCAATTATGTCTTGGGCGATTTTTAAGGCAATTTTTGGAATGTCGACTTAAAGCAATTAGAGTATAAATGTTTACCTGTCTCCATAAGCACCAGTCATGGTGACGAAGGCGTACGGGGTCCAGCCGCAGACGAACATGAAGAAGATGGTGAAGGCGACTTTCGCAATCCTGATCTCAACGCTCTTGCTAGCGTCCTCCTTGTTGCTGGCCAAAGATTTTACGTTCATCTTCTTAGCCTGCTCTTGTAGCATCCTCTCGTGAAGTCGTACCTGGCGGAGAAATATCCAGTAATTATACATCTGCTTTATAGAGACGCTGATGAAGGGAATAGTAGCCGTATCGTTTCTCTGTAGACTGTGGGAAGAGCGATGGAAAATGCTTCACCAGAACGCAGGAGGGCTATATAGTAATGATAAATTAATCGTCTAATTGCTAAACCCATTTAAATCTCCAGAGAAGCGACAGTCATTTAACATCTAATGAACCAACTTATTCGTAGATTCAATCTTCTTTGAATCATCGTTAAATGTCGTATGTTATAAATCGCCGTAAAAATGGCACAGGCAGCATAATAATAAATCCTTCGATCCGTCCGTACGGTCCTTTTACCCAAATCTAAGTGAAAACATGTGGAGGTAAACATTTTCTTACATTAAAAGTACGGTCGATCAATGAGGTTCCTGAATATGTAATAAGGAAATTATTCAATAGAAAAATCCAACGGTACCAAGAAATCGAGCTGAATATTTATTGGGTGCGTTGCGTCCGATTCGTTTTAATATACGATTTAGGAAAAAGGTTTGGGCTTCGACCGAATAAAACGGATTTCATAGAATTGATTTTATAGTAAAAGTAAATATATGGTAAAAAGCTGATTTCTATATCCAAGTATGTCCTTCAAGACTAAATTCACTAAACCAAAAAATGTACGGCCATTTTATTTAAATAGAATGAAATGAAGAATACTTACAGCACCAAAGAGTTGAGAGTAGAAATAGCAGATAAGCGCCATGGGGATAGCGTAGCTCCACACAAAGATGCAAGCGACGAAAACTTTGGTGTCCTGGTCGTCCGTGAAGTAGTCGAACGAGCAAGTTGTCAGGAAGCCCTCTGTTAATTACAAGCATTATTTAAATAATCCGCCTATATTAAAAGATCTGCAATAGAATGCAGTTATAAATATCATCGATGTTGTGATAGTGTTGTGAAACTGTAAAATTAAAAATTGTAGTATACTTACCAGGAACAAATCGTCCCCAAACTTTCAAAGCCGGTAAGATGGTGAATGGCATCGACCAGAACCACGTGAAAGCGATAAGAAGCGAAGCTTGTACTTTGTTAATTCTTCCGTCCAGCGGGCAAGAGATGGTCCTGTATTAAGTTAATAGGTTATTATACTAAACAATTTATTAGTTCTGTATTTATATTATAGATAGATATGTCAAAGCAAAAAAACTGAGTCATGTAATGTTTAGTACGCACTTGTATCTGTCGAAGGCAATAACAGCATTAGTGATGGCTCCCCCAATGCCGGATATGGAGCCGAGTACGGCGTACACGTCACAACCGAGCTGGAACCCGATTGGATGTTGATAGAAAGAGTTAGCTATCAGTAGGGGCATCTCGATCATCATCATCAGGTCGAACACCGCCAGGTTGATAACGAACATGTTGCTTGCACTGCGTAATGATTTCGATCTGTAATAGAAAAATGTGTTTATTATTACGTCATGCCTTAAGTGGTAGGAGATTCTTGTCTTCGGAAACATGCATTATTATCTCTTATTTTGTTGGTTCATTTGATCCTTGATATGTAAGTGTGTGATTATATTTATGAAGTTAAAATTGAATTTGATTATAAATTAAACTTCACATATATTTTATTAATAAAGTAGTTTGGGGCATTATTAGTTAGAATTCTTTGGCGTGAATGGCGCCGCGTTTTCGTTATAAAGTTTAGTAAGGTTAGTGTTGCGCCAGTACACTGGCACAGTGTCAGATTTTCTTCCTAACTGTAGTATGGGCTTTTATTATAACAAAGTTGTATCAAAGAAATCGCATCAAAAGATGATATTAAATTATTAAAATACTCTTGACTTTGTATTTTGTAAGCTCAAATTGCTTCACATGTGAGTAACATGTGCGATAAACAATTTATTATGTCAAATGACATGTGACAACATGGCGTATATTTTCGCTTTTAATTAAGTGCAAAATTGTTTTGAACGTATGTTATTTATTACTGTTTTGACCTTTGGACTATATTAAGTGTGAAAAATAAAGAAGCTAGTAAGAATCTACTTAATGCATGGCTTTTGTTAACTTTGATTAATATCGTACAATTGTATGTTTCTTGTTTAATTCTTGTTACTTATGTATGTGTTTTTATAACTTTAAAACCCAACATAATGTTTATTCTTTCGAATATTGAAATCAAGTCTAAACTCTTGAATTTTATCCTAGAATTAATGAAATTCCCGTGTCAAGATAACAGTTTCCAGGAATTTCAATAGTTTTAACTTTGCCAATTACTACGTGTTTTCTGTACGAAGCATTTTCTTTTCCCGAAAGCCAGTCTTAGTCTTAATAAGAAAACATATTAAGGAATTATTAATATTTGTTGCACACAAACAGTGACTAAACGTACTATATCTAGATTGCAACTCTGTTGTCAAAGTTATTTAGACCATTGACAAAAAACATAACCGTTTCGAAATACGATAAGGGTAATGTAAAAAAAAAGCAATCCGAAATGATTATTGGTTATTGGATATGGCATCAAAAGTATCAAATGACGTCACAGCGCCGCGTCCCGATGACACAGATACTGAACGAGCGAGATAAATGGGAATCAAATCTTTGACGCTTAAGAGACAGGATCTGCCGAGCGCGTATTCATTAAGATCAATAATTTCTAAATTATTTACTTTCCTACTTGTATTGTGTTTGTAAATTTTTGACTGACTATGCGTTCTTACCGACATTATAATTTTACGTTACTATCAGCATGATATTATATATGAAAATATGTAATTGTCTTTTTGCTTAGTCCCTTTCTGTATGGTCAAAGGAATCGAATAAAATTGTATCGATGGAGCTAGTCGGAATCGTTCGGAATGCGGCTCGCTTGAAACTTGTCTGTGACACTCTTTGGAAAACTCTCGGAAGTTGGAAATTCCTTTTTAATACGGTGTTTTAATTTTATTTTTGCGTAGGATGCTTTGTTAAGTTAAAGTTGTTTCCGTATTAAATAACTACGTATTAATTGTTGTTATATTTTTGATCAGATAAGTTTATACAAAAATTTACAGATGTAGAAAATCTATTGCGTTTACGTTGAATTAAAAATTATTATTTTTGCATTTGATACTTTAAGAACAACACATTAAAGTTGATTAATGTAAAGCACGGTAGGTTAAGCCGTGGGTCATAGGTAATAGAATAAACACAAAACGAATGTTGCTGTAGAGGGGGGAGCTTATGCTACGAGATATCGTAGTAGGTTCGTAGCGTCAATCAAGTCTCGTAGCTCGCAGTACCGAAAGTTAATTAAATCGCCACCACTGGCGCGACAGAGGCAGTGACGTAGTCAACAGCACTCGATGCCCACAAATTGTTCCATGTTATTAAATTTGACGCCATTTTGTCCAATATCGAATTCTGTATACACATTTACGAATATCTTTGATTTTAATAGACCATTCACCAATTTCTTTTAATTGAGATATTCATCATCCCATTGATATTGTTTGTTTAAACCGGTTATAGTTTCAAAGAATTAAGAGCGATAGCCAAGAACCGCGCAAATGGAATTCCTTCCATTTGTACATATTTTTGTGCTTTTATTTCTGTTGAATATATATAATTTCAGTATAAGGCTCGTGGAGAAGGGAATGTTTTCACTAATTATATAATAGTTTAAAGATTGATATAAAATTCAAATATTATATAAAATTGTCTAAGTCATGCATTGTGGGAATGGTATAAAATGTAATATTATTGATTTACACAATTTTTAATTAAAATATCATAAAGGACTACGTAACATAATAGAACAATTTCTATTCTAAGAGATATTATGTGATATAATAAATGTGAACTAAGCTATGAGTTTCGGAAATGCTAACAATAGCCGCGGGCGAGGGTGGTCGCTGCGAAAGATTGTCCCGGACGCGGCAGCTTTGTCACGATTACACTTGTTTGTTTGGATTAGATCTCTAAATGTGACTGGATTTTGAGTAATTAGTTCAGGCAAAATGTTTTATAAGTGTATTTTATGTAAAATTACATTGCTATTCTATCGTGAGAGAAATAAATAAAAAAAACTTACGTGCTGAATATCCAGATGACGATGCCGTTCCCGACGAGTGAGGTGACCATAAGCATGGTGTAGATGAGGGCAAGGATGAAGTGGTAGTACTTGCTGACGGCAGGGAAGCTGCGCCAGTGCGCGTGTACCATCGCCTGGTGTTCTTCCGGGATGTTCCAGCCCATCATGTGTTCCACCATCTCCGATGAAACCCTGGCAACAATAAAGAACTCAATAAAATGACTCGATCGTGATGTCTGTCTACTTTTAGGGGTACGATTATGAAAGACAAAACCGCACAGGACCAGCGTGGTTGAATAAGGACTAGTCACCAGTTACGGTAGACTTTAGCTTTTTGGTGACGCCGTATATAAGCTGACGACTACCAAGACCAGATCTTGTGGCGAGTTTATGATGACACAAAGTTACTGTTATATCGACATTTTGAAAAGAAAGAACGAATAGATATATATAAAACAAAAGCATGTTATAAACAAAAGACTACAAAAAGTAAAATAACAAAAAATACTTACAGCTTCATGGGGTAGGCCATGGGGCCGATGTCGTCTGAATAATTTGCAGCCATTTTGTGCAGCGTCTATTTAAATGTAAAATAAAATATTCTACTGGACGAGCACTCAGCAGAGTGGAGAGAATTGTAACATTGGTTGGTTGATTCTAGAGTTGACTACGGTTTTGACGAAGTGAGTAGTCCGACAACGGCTGTCGCTTCTCACTTGTGCTCTACCTCAAGCGATGCCACCTTTTATATCGGCCGAACTGTGCGTGCCTGTTAATTCCTTAATTCAATAAAAAAGTAAAGCTTCTTGCTTATTTCGTCAAGCGTGAACCGGGCGAATGACGAGTGTTCAATCAGTGGTGTTTTATTTCTAGGTTTCATATCTCCTTAATAATTAATTACTTAGGTTCTTCTAATAGTATACCTGTAAATATAAATAAAAGTTAAATATTATAAATGTTTTTATTGGGTTTTAATAGAGGTTATAAGTTACTAGGTGTCGCCCGCAAATCGTCTGCGCGGAGTTACAAAAACTTTGTGTTCTTCCAGACTATGAAATACATCTATACTAAATTTCATTCAGATCCGTTAAGCCATACTGGAGATACCTTTTTACAAACATACAAAATCCATCCAAACATTCGAAATTATAAAGTAAGATATTAACCACATAGTTCATATTTCTGTGAAGTTTCGAATCTTAGGAACAAGGCATTTAACATATTATCGTGTGCTACAGACAGGCACAGTGCATGTCTTTCTTAACGTTGCATGTTAAACCTGTAGCAGAAGGAAAAATGTAGTATTTCATCACAGTTTGTGCATTTATTTAAAGAAAAAACAATGTTTAAAAATCCTCCTACTATATTTAATTATCATAAGCATTCATTTACAAAACCCTTTTAAAACTATAAAGAAAAGCTTGAAAAAAATGTCCAAACAAAACGCTGGAGCGTCCTAAAATGAAGCGGACATTACTCAAAGGACTTCATTACGAAGACAACGAGATTGCGGACAATCCCTAGTTTTTGAGGCGTCACTGGGATCTTCACATCATAGGCTCGCAACGTGCTTGGAATTCATCCCTTAACATTTGCTTTTCAAAACCACAGTTCGTTCGGATACAAAATCGTGATAAAAATATTGGTGAAATTTAACATAAGATAATTGAGTGAATAAATAAACACATGTTGTAATAAAAAGAAACAAAGTTTCTTAAAAAAAAACCTTACAAGTTTATCTGATAAAAAATCATTTAAGTGCATTGTATTTAGACTGCTCGATTTCTTAATTTATATTTCAATGTTCAGCACTTGCAAGGTAAATATGATCTTTAATATTTATGATGAAAACTCACTGTGAATTACATTCGAGTGAGTATTGCTGGTAGGAGCCCCTAGTTCTGAGAGAGGCGACCTGCAGACGCCTCGCTGCGGTCATAAATTGGGCCTGAAGTGATGACCGCGTAAATAGGTCGTTGATAACATGCTTTGTTCAGTGTATTCAATTCTGGAATATTTATGGCCATTTTCCATTTATATCTTTACAGCATATTTTGTTACTTGTTTACACTAAATAACTGCATACCTTCTTTAAATACCAAAATATGATCTGCAAATTAATTTAAGTTGTTCTATTTAGTAGTATAATAAGTAGGTATTCATTTGTATCAAAAAGTTCGTACTTTTTGAAATAAATGAGTGGCTTTCAAGATTCTATAAACCCGATGTTTTTGATTAAAAAAAAGGCTCTGGCTGAATACCGGAGACATTGATCAAGTGAAAAAAGAAAAAAAAAACAATTCCAAAATAGCATTAAACAGTTTTATACAACATAAGAAGTATCTTATTACGATTGATACGTGTAGTCACGATATCACTTACATGGCTTTTTGTTATTAGTAGAGTAACAGGCATACAGGAGGGCTGTTATGTAATTTTATAGTGATTTAACGACGTTAAAATAAATTTAAAATAGCAAAGAACCTCTCATACAAGTTAAATAACTACCAAAATCAAAATAAAATATAATAAAAAAAATTAAACATCTGCGACAGTATTCTGGAAAGTTGATTTGTTCGATGGATTGTTTTGAGGAAGAATATTTTTCTCTTTACGAAAATTGTAAGCGCGACGAAATGCTAATCCCGAAAGTGAGTTCCAGCGAACATACGCAGTTTTAGACCACTTTTATTTTCTATAAAAAATAAATATACGTATGAAGGGAGGATTAAATGGAGTATATCACGAAGTACTAATATTAACCAAGAGTAATTTAATATTGATAAGTTTACGCAGAGTTTATAATATTTGCATAACTGGAACAAACTATGAATGTATAAATTTTGCGAGCTCGGAGATAGTAATTCCATAACATAAATATACAAATTGAAATTTCAATGCGCTAAATCAAACCATATTCCCATGTAAGTATTTTTTTTTATATCATAAGGTGGCAAACGAGCGAGCAGCCACTTGAAATCGCTGAATAGCGAAGTGACCGTTACCCATAGACATACGCAATTGCATATGCGTTGCCTACCTTTAATCGACGGAGGAGAGGATGCACAGAAAGAAAATATTTCCCCTTTCCATGCATCCTCTCATCCGGAAAGTCCACTTCCACTTCCCATCCTTTCCTTATAAGAAAAAGGGTGGCAAGGGAAAGAGGACTCATTTTGGCCTCCGGGACGCACACTCATCAGACGAAACGCGGAATTGCTTGGTGTGGTCGTGGTATTTCACCGGGCGAGCCGGGCCAATTCGTGCGAAGATGTTAAAGCGGGCTCTACCACTGTTAAAATATCTTTGAGACGTATTTATTAGACATTAGACATTACTTAATTTAATAAAGACTCAGTCACTAATCATAATTATTTACAACTATAGTATACCAAATTACGACTATGTTTATTTTCATGTCTAATCCTATATTTGAATACAAATTAATCTGTGCGGTTTTACTAATTAGCTAATATTTGGAGCGTGGTTGGAGTACTGCATACACTGCTCTATGTTACGGCGTCAAATTGCCACAGCCCATAAAACCGCCGGCCCATGTGTTTACACTTAATGCCAGCTAGCAGTGTCCAAAACCAATTATGTACACCGCTTGCCGCACGATATATGACCGACATGAATTCATATGATATATTGTGCCTTGTATCCGACGAACAAGATCGTATCTATATACTTATACCTATGTATCCGTGCAGAAAGAATAAGTGACAGTCGCCCAAGAATTCGTTCGCGTGGAATTAAAAACTCAGCCTACGCATTATCACAGACTTATTTCTGTTTCTTTTATCCAGATCCGTCCAGCCGTTCTAATGTAACGTGATAACAAAAAAGGGAATCTTAATATTGTTATTTCTTTAATTGTAAAAGATCGCAAAAATCTTGGTGGCCGAACAACGATCACATAACCTTTATAGGAAAAACTTTCCTTAAATTGTTTCCGGAATTCAACTTCAATCGTGTCTTCAATCGGTTGCCACTTAAAGGGCGGGTCGCACTTTTTAACAATACAAGCTGAATTGGGATTTATTCGACTATCTAACGAAATTGGTATTGCTTTAAATGTCGGTTATTTGTTCGTTTGTTATCGATCTGGAAGTTCCATTTTGATTTATGTATAAATTGTAATTCCTAGCTTTTCCGATTGTTCCGACTTCTATAGTTTTATTTAATAATTTTGGACTTTTTAAAGAAGTAATATGACTAAATAAATCAAGTTAATTTCATATTCCATAATTTAAACACTACTTTAAGCAGATTTTGTCACTAAGTATCCGAGTTGCAGAGCTAAAAAATAAAAATGAACAAGCGAAAACGCAGACATTTTCATTATATTTTAGATTTCTTACAACATTAATCATAACTTAGTAATTTTAAAAATATACTCATTAATTTTCACAAGCGTCAATTTAATAGCAAGCATTTCTCGTTTAACACGAATCGCATTTTAGGAACAATATAAAGGAGTGGCTAATGAAAAAAAAATCCCTGGGAATTGTGGCGTTCGTAAAATAATGGCCTCTTTGTAAAAGATCCCCTATTCATTACAATGGATGTAGGGAACACAATGACTACTACAATTTCTTACGCCACGATATTATATTTTCAATTATGTGACTCATTTTAATGCAATACTAGACCATTTTGGAGAGCGTCGGTGGTTCAGGGGTTTCGGCACTTGACTTGCAATCGGCAGGTCTTGGGTTCGAATCCCGCCATGTACTAATGTATTTTTCGATTTTCGATTTACATATGTACATTTATCCCACGTTCTTACGGTGAAGGAAAACATCGTGATGCAACCTGCACATATCTGAGAAGAAATTCAATGATATGTGTGAAGTCAACCATCACGCACTTGGCCAGCGTGGTTGACTATAGCCTAGTCACCCCTAACTTAGGGTAGGATCCGAGCCCCTCGGTGGGGACGTATAGTGAGCTGATGATGATGATGACTAGACCATTTTAAAACCAGGAATATATATTGCGCGATCAAAATATATAAACATCATTACGTGGTAATTTATTTTATTCAAAATGTTGAAAAATGTCTCTTCCATTAAGTAAATGGACGATTTCTTTTATTCCAAAAATAAAATAAAAAAGGATTTTTTAATAAATCAATCCTGACAAAAGGGAATAGTGATTACCATCTCTGTCTACCTAATTACAACATGACTGTTACATATTTATATCATCCATATTAAAACTTAACGGGCTATTAAACACATTATACATATGGCGCTTCGCGTTTGTTTTAATTAAGAGTACAATACGATTATAATTAGCTGTAGTATTAAGGAAAGGCGTCTTTTGTTTACTTAAGTGTTCATAAAGCTTAGAGAGAGGTTTAGGAAATCCAAAGACGGCGATTCGGGTCATTACACACGACCATTATATAGCTCGGTTAATACTGTTGACAAGATTTTTTTTGCACATAACAATGTCTTTACCGCAACTTTTGTTATTTTTCTGTGTTAATAATAATAAATAATCTCTCTGTGTATTATAGTATGAGGGTTAAATATAAAGTTTAATAAGGAAAATTGTTGTTACTTAGTTTCAATTTGAGACAAATATCGCGATATTAGTTTGGTAAAGCTTCTGGGAGAAATATTTTGCGTTGATTTACGCTGAAACTCAAAGTTTTTTTTTGTACGGCCACCGACTTACTTAATCTTTAGCGATTTGTGATTTATTTGTTT